ATATCTTTTTCTCACCAAGATAAGCATATTTTAAAGTGTCAGGCAATTACTATAATTCAAACACAGGATCACCTTTAGGTGGAGGAGGACCTCCTAGAGTTTCAATAGGAAAACTATGTTTTAGGAGAGGTTGTTGTTCAAAGAATATTTATCTATTTCATTTCTTTCACGCAAGTGCATATCATTTTCATGGTCAAGCAAATATTGTTCTAGTGGATCCGTAGGAGGCATGGCAATAGAATCAAGACCAATTATTTGATCCTTACTAGGTAATTATTTATCCCAAGGTTGTCTGCGAAAATTAGAGAAATTGAACTCATTAGACACATCACCAAAACTAGCACTGATAGTTTGTTTTTCACAATCTATCTTAGCATTGAGAGTGTTCAAGAAAGGTCTACCAAAGATAATGGGACAAAAGTCATCTTGTGGGGAACCAAGGACTAGAAAATCAGTAGGATATTTTATCTTCCCACACAAGACTTCAACATCTCAAACAATCCGAAGTGGTGTGATGGTGTCTCTATTAGCAAGTTTGATATTAACATCTATGTCTTCTATTTCAATGGGTGCTATGTCATTCATAATTTCTTGGTATAAGGTAAAAGGAATAGCACTCACACTAGCACCTAAGTCACATAAACCATGATAGAAATGATCTCCTATTTTAACTGAGACAACAGGCATGCCAACCACAGGTCTATGTTTATATTTTTCATCGGGTTTGGTGATTGTAGCAGCTTCATCACAGAAGTAAATAACATGCCCATCAATATTTTCTACCAAGAGATCTTTAACCATAGCAACACTAGGTTCTACTTTAATTTTCTCAGGGGGTTTAGGTGCTTTAATATTACTTCTGCGAACCACAATTGATACCTTAGCATGTTCCTTTATCCTAATAGGGAAAGGTGGTTTTCAATATAAGCAGTAGGCACAACTGGATCAAATTGTAAATAATAGTTTCATCTTTAGCTTTTACCCGTTCTTTAATTTCTTCTTTAATAGGGGGTGATGTTTAAACCACTTCTTCTTAGGGAGATCACATGAGTAGCAAATGATTCACAAAAAGAGGCTACTATCTCAGAGTCAAGTCCACATTTAGTGCTAAGCTTGTGAAAAGCATCGGTATTCATAAAAGATTTAACACAACCAAACTCAAGCTTAATACCTGACTCTTTACCTTCGTCAAGTTCCCCATCTTCAGAGTTGCATTTAATTCTTTCCAAGAGATCCCACTTGAATTCAATCGTCTTCTTCATAAAAGAACCAGTACAAGAAGTATCGAGCATGGATTTATCATCATGAGAGAGCCGAGCACAAAAAAAATTGAATGATAATTTCTCTCAAGAGCTCATGATTGGGGCATGAATATAACATTGACTTAAGCCTCCCCCAAGCTAGAGCGATACTTTCTCCTTCACGAGGCCAAAAATTATATATATAATTTTGATCACGATGAACTAGATGCATAGGATAAAATTTCTGGTGAAATTCCAATTTCAATCGATTTCATCCAAGATCCAATATCATCGCATAGCCTATACCATGTCAATGCTTTTCCCTTCAAAGATAAAGGGAAAACCTTCTTCTTAACTTCATCTCCGGGTAAACCTGCAAGCTTAAATAATCCACAAATTTTATTCACATGTATCAAATGCATATCAGGATGTTCAGTCCCATCTCCTGCATAAGGATTAGCTAGCAGTTGTTTTATCATACCTGAAGGAATTTCATAATGCAGTAGGTTGAGGGGCAACTAATTGTGCTTTCGGTCGAGGTGAAGATACCCCGAACAAACCCCTCAAAGGATTGTTTTCCGTAGTGACAAGTGACAATAAATTTCAGCATGTAATATAATTTTTTCCTTACCGATTTCCACTTACCAAGAGTGCTTCACTCCCAGGCAACGACGCCAGAAAAGATTCTTAATGACCCACAAGTATAGGGGATCAATCGTAGTCCTTTAGATAAGTAAGAGTGTCGAACCCAACAAGGAGCAGAAGGAAATGACAAGCAGTTTTCAACAAGGTAATTTCTGCAAGCACTGAAATTGTCGGTAACGGGTAGTTTGATAGCAAGATAATTTGTAACAAGCAAGTAACGGTAACGGTAAATAAAGTGCAACAAGGTAGCCCAATCCTTTTGTGGAAAAGGATAGGCCAAAACGATCTCTTATAATAAGCAAAGCGTTCTTGAGGGCAGACATGAATTTTGTCTAGCCACTTTTTGTAATGTTGGTTTGATTCACGTTCGCTACTTTGATAATTTGATATGTGGGTGGACTGGTGCTTGGGTGTTGTTCTTACTTGAACAAACCTCCCACATATGATTAACCCCCTCGCAAGCATCTGCAACTACGAGAAAAGTATTAAGATAAAATCTAACCATAGCGTTAAACATATGAATCCAAATCAGTCCCTCACGAAGTAGCGCATAAACTAGGGATTAAGCTTCTGTCACTCTATCAACTCATCATCTAATAACTACTCCACAATGCATTCCCTTAGGCCTAAAGATGATGAAGTGCCATGTAGTCGACGTTCATATGACACCACTAAGAGATTCTCAACATACACATCATCAAAATATCGAACACACATCTAATTCACATGATTACTTGCAACATGACTTCTCCCATGGCCTCAAGAACAAAGGTAACTACTAAAAAATGATATTCATGCTCAAGATCAGAGGGGTATTAAATAGCATAATGAATTTGAACATATAATCTTCCACCAAATAAACCATATAGTAATCAACACTACTAGTCACCCACAGTTACCAACCTGAGGTTCCGATACAAAGATTGAACACAAGAGATGAACTAGGGTTTGAGATGAGATGGTGTTGTTGAAGATGTTGATGAAGATTGGCCTCCCAAAGATGAGAGGGTTGTTGGTGATGACGATGGCTTTGAGTTCCCCTTCTGGGAGGGAAGTTCCCCCAGCGGAATCGCTCCGCCAGAGGGCAAAAGTGCTCCTGCCCAAGTTCCGCCTCGAGACGACGACGCTCTGTCCCGAAAGTGCTCTCCTTAGTTTTTCTAGGTCAAAAGACCTTATGTACCAGAAGATGGGCATCGGAGGTGGGCTGGGCTGCCCACAACCCACCAGGGCGCGCCTGGGGTGCCTGGCGCACCCTGGTGTATTGTGGGCACCAGGTGGACCCCCTCCGGTAATTATTTGCTCCAGTATTTTTTATATATTCCAAAATAATTCTCCGTAAAATTTCAGCTCATTTGGAGATGTGTAGAATAGGTATCTCTGACATAGCTTTTTCAGGTCCAGAATTCCAGCTGCCAGTATTCTCCCTCTTTATGTAAACCTTGCATATTATGAGAGAAAAGACATTAAAATTACTCCATAAAGCATTATTATGCACAAAAGCATTATAACTAACAATATGAAATCATGATGCAAGATGGATGTATCAAGATCGATCCGGGAGAGAGTGTGTGAGAGATAGGGGGTAGGTGGCCTATGGTTCAGAGGGGGGGGGACGAGGGCGCCTTGTAGTCGCCGGGGACGGGACGGATGGCCGACACGCACGGCCATCTGCGGACGAGCGGTGTCGACGACGTTCCTGGTGAACAGAAGAAGGAGCTAGGGAGGTGGGCAGGGCATGCCAGCCACACCTGGGCCTCCTTCTCTCTTCCTTTTCTTTTTTTCTTTTTATGCTTTTTTATTTTTTGTTTGCACTTTCTTTTAGTAATAAACCATTTTTGTAATATGTGTGGTTGGTCTCAAATTTTAGCTTGAAATATACCTCACTGCCACAGAAAGTTTGGCACCTAAATGAAATATATTGAAATTTTTGTAATTTAAAAAGCAATTAAAATATTGTTTGGCCCCCCTTTTTTAATTGTTTTAGGACATTTAACTATTTTATAAAAAGTTGGTTTTGTTTTTACAATTGCTTCGGGGTTATTTGTAATACTTTGACCATTTTTGTTTTGCTGTTTGAATAAATATTAATTTGACATTATTTTAAGTTGAGTTTGAATTTGGTTTGGAACAAAGTGAGGTTTAGAGAAGTAATTGCAATGACATGGCACCATTAGTGAGTGGTTATTGTAGCTTAACTACCGGGTGTTACAGTGACCGTGACAGAGCACATGCAGGGGAAGGGGCCCTTCTCGGCTTGATTCCTTCATGTTGTGACTCAATTAAAGTGGATGTGAGAGGGGTAGCACGCTTAGAAGGGATGGGGTGGCTTCTTATAGCCTGGCGATTCGGGCCGATAAGCATGGGCACGACAGCCATGGCCACGACCATAAATTGGACACAGGCGAAGTTCAGGACGTCCATGGCGGGCAGTCTAGGGAGAGGTCTAGGCTGACGCAGTATGTGCCTACTGGCTCGACATTGATGGCGAGCTAGAGCTTGGTTGGGACGGTACGTCGGCTAGCTTGGTGGGCGGCACTGCCGGTCCGAGAACACATGGGAGAATGGGGGAAAGGACGAGATGACGAAACTAACTACTAGCGCACAACTTGTTTGAGGCCACTTGCATGCCGCGGGCGATGCGGGAGCGTGGGACCCATTCACAGGTCAAATACCGCTTTGACTATGTCCATTTCAGCGAATCACTTGAGCAAACCCATCGAGGGATTACGTTATGCGACCGTTACTAGTATAGTGTCAAAAAAAAAGTCTTATAAGGTCTTATAGTATTACGGGCTGAGGGAGCTATCTCAAAAACAATCAACAACTCAAAAAAAGAATAAATGAAGCAGCGACAACGATCAGGTTAGTAGGTTACCAACCATTTTCTTCAGGGGAGCTGTTGGACATTTGCTCTAGGTAGATCGCACAAGGACCGCCAAAATCCGACGGCGGCGCTTGCGTCGCGGATCCAGCCGAGCCAGATCCACGCGGCACGTGACAAGTGACACGACGCTCGCTCACTCCACCCACACTCCCCGGCCGCCGCCGCCGGCCTCGTCAGTCGCAGATCCCCCAACCACCAGCAAAGCCGCCGCTCACCGCCGATCGGCCCACATGGCCGCCTCTATCGCCGCCGCCGCCGCCGCCGCGTCCGTCTCCCACGTCCTTCCCGCGCCGAAACCCAAGCCCAGAACCCCACCCCGCCTCTCCCTCCTCCCCCGCAGGCGCTCCCGCGCCGCCGGGGCCATCTCCGCGTCCGCGTCCGCGGCCTCCGACTTCCTCGCCCCGGTCCCGTCCCTCAAGTCCCGCCTCGCCGCGGGCGACACCCTCTACGGCCTCTTCCTCCTCTCCTTCTCCCCTACGCTCGCCGAGATCGCCGCGCTCGCCGGCTACGACTACGTCGTTGTCGACATGGAGCACGGGCCGGGCGGCATCACGGAGGCCCTCACCTGCCTCCGCGCCCTCGACGCCGCCCGCACCCCCGCCGTCCTCCGCCTCCCGGAGGCCTGCCCCGTCTGGGCGAAGAAGGCGCTCGACCTTGGTCCCGCGGGCCTCATGCTTCCCGCCGTCGAGTCTCCGGCCGCTGCCGCGGAGGCTGTATCCCACTGCCGCTACCCGCCTCGCGGCGTCCGTGGCGCTGCCTACCCAATCGTCCGCGCATCCGCCTACGGCCTCGACGACTCCTACCTCTCCCGCTGCGAGGATGACACCCTCATCATCTGCCAGGTCGAGACCGCCGCCGGCGTTGCGGAGATCGACGCCATCGCCGCCGTCGAAGGGGTCGACGTCGTCCAGATGGGCCCGCTCGACCTGTCGGCGAGCATGGGCTACCTGTGGGATCCCGGGAACAGGAAGGTGCGAGCGACCCTGAGGGAGGCTGAGAGGAAGGTGTTGGAGGCCAGGAAGAAGAAGGACGCTGCTCCGAAGACCAATGCGGCTTACTTGGGTGGGTTTGCGATGCCCAATGACCCAGCTGAGCAGCTCAAGCATAGGGGATACCATATGGTTGCAGGTGCAGTGGACATTGGGTTGTTCCGGAAGGCGGCATTGGAGGATGTCAAGCGGTTCAAGGAGGCGTCAGTGGAGATTGGTGAAGCAGAGGGCGAGGAGGAGGATGAGAAGGAAAATGGATACTGGAGTGAATGAGCACTGAGCTTAGCTCACTGGGGAACTGGTGATGATTTCGTTTGTTTGTGTTCTGAACTGAAACTTTTAGGGTATCCATTTTCTGGACTTTGGTGTACTCTTGTTTAGGGAGCAAATCTGTTTGGGCACCTTACTGTTCCCATTTGTAGGTGGTAATTGGTGAGTACCTAATAAAGAGTTGGATTTTAGTGAAATGCTGCTGTGTCCTTCTGTTCCATTTTATTTGTGGAAAGCTAGAAATTTGTATGAGCCAAACACCAGAAATTACTTCATGACAAGAGAAAAGCAGTGGTAAGTTTTTCCAATAAAAGATTGATGGTGAATTTGTTTTGTGGGGTCAGGGCAAGCCCATAGCCAGACTCCAGATTGTCCATCTCAACACTTGCTCAACCTCAACCACTAGTTCAGATATGCTGGGACATCCCATCCAGAACCATTTAGGTCCTTTGGACACTTGCACATCCCAAAATATCTCCTTCCAGCAACAGTTGCAGCCTTAGGATTAGCTAAGCTCCCTTCCGATTCTTCCCCAAGTTTTTGCTGCTCTTTATCTCATGACCACGATGATCGCAGCTAGCTCCATAGTGAAAGCCAACCTTCCTTGCTCGTCAAGGATATCCTCCTGCTCAGACTTCTCATCTGGTCATTTGTGGCGCCCATTAGAAGCTGCAAAACATTACCGAGCGCATGGTGTGCGCTCGCTGCGGGTAACATGTGCTGCCACTAAGACTGCGAAATCTCCAGGTACTGTGAATATGCTTGCCTCCTTTGACTTGATATGGAACCGTTTCTTATTCTGTTATGCATGATGCTATCTTGGCATGTTTACCCCCCTTATTTTGCAGCTGAAGAGGAATGGAAGATCAAACGGCAATTCCTATTAGAGAAGCGGGTAATAACCATCATTCTGACCAATATTTTTGCATTAAACGTATATGAAGGTTGCTGCGGACTTCTTAACCTTAAGTCTTATGAAGAGAGTTAGAGTAACATATGTATGTGTAGAACAATTATAGATTATATGTGAAATAGGCACTGTTTTGACATTTATGAGGACTTATCTACCTATTCCTGTTGATTCATATGTGTATTGGCTTGATTTACTGTTGATTGAAGATGAGCATTCTATGCTTAGCAGCCGCCATTTACATCAGAGGTGTTTCTCCTGTTTGTTTTTGCAGGTACGTAGTGTTGATGTGAAGGAAGCACTGCGCCTTCAAAACGAGAACAACTTTGTAATTCTCGATGTCAGACCAGAAGCAGAGTTCAAACAGGTATCTTATAGTTGCTGTCTCAAGCTCTTGGGTTTAGGGCAGAAACTTACTTTTACATTGTTGCTTACTTATCTTTTTTGTGTCTTTTATCAACCCGAAATGATAGCTGAAGCAAATTGTGTATCAATGATGATGTATTGAATCGACAACACTATGCTGAATACAGTTCACAATTACTCCCTTTCGTTCCTAAATATAAGTCTTTTTAGAGATTGCACTACAAACTACATACGGATGTATATAGACATATTTTAGAGTGTAGATTCACTCATTTTGCTCCGTATGTAGTCCATATTGGAATCTCTACAAAGACTTATATTTAGGAATGGAGGGAGTATATAACTGGAGATATAATATATGTTGCTGTTGCAATAGCCAAACATAAATTTAGAAGTCTGCTTAGTAGTAGTAGTACCTAAACGGCTAACAGTGATCAAATCGTCTCCAATGATGCCTAAAAAAATGTCAAAAGTTTGTTTTCATATTGTGCCGCTTCATACAATGAAATTTATATTTCAATCTGGGAAAGTTGCACCACAGTTATGGATTTATTTTTGTGCAGGCTCACCCACCTGGTGCTGTTAATGTACAAATATACAGATTAATAAAGGAGTGGACAGCATGGGATATTGCAAGGAGGGCAGCATTTGCTTTCTTTGGCATATTTGCAGGAACAGAAGAGAATCCTGAGTTTATAAAAAGTACGTAGCATTTTTTGTACTTCTGTTTGCTGCGTCCTCACCATTTATACATGTACCGGCAATCAGATGCATATGCCATATTTGTGCAGGCGTTGAAGAAAAACTTAATAAAGATTCAAAGATAATTGTAGCATGTTCAGCAGGAGGAACAATGAAGCCAACACAGAATCTACCTGATGGGAAGCAATCTAGGTATATTATGTTGCCCATATACTCCCTCCGTTCCATATTACTCGTCGTGGTTTTAGAACTAAAACCACGACAAGTAATATGGAACAGAGGGAGTAGTATTATTTATTGCTAAACTTGTTTAATTTCCATGGATTGTCGGTCCTTTTCCAGTTGTCATGAAGGTGCTGAACTGCTGATACTGTTTATTAATGTGATTTGGCTTAAGCTAAATTTCTTGCATCTTCCGTGAAATGAGATCTGTGCATATTTTGTTACTAGGTTTAACCAATCTTCGCATTAAAAGATATTCTCTGTTGTCGGGGTTTTCTGTTAGTGGAAATTTGTTTCGCAATTTGAACATTCTCTTTATTTCTACCATGGGTTTTGTTTAGCTATTTTCCTGTCAACACTGGTGGTTGATTGGTCATGACTGAATTTTCAATACAATTACTAATATATTATCCTGTGAACAAGCATGGATGATTCTGTGATATATTAAGCAGATATTTGTAAATTGGTCCAGTTACTCGACCAATAAAATTAACCAAGTATTAAAAACCATGCTATTTGTGGATGTGTTCTTGGCCAAGTAGTGGGAGCCTGGGAGGGCAGTGTCATCTTCAAGCTGACACATGTTCAAATCTCAGTGGTAGAATTCAGTCTCTCGCAGCCTCTTCTTAATTAATGCCACCAGGCTCTTCCCCTGCTCTCTGCTACGGTCTCCGTCTCCCTTGGGAGACCGTCGCACAAGATACGTTCAATCGGTTAGGACGGCGATCCAATGATAGGTTATGTGTGTGAGTCATGTAATCCTGTTATCAGGCAGTTGTGTTTTCGCCTTGTTTATCCTCTGTGTACTGTTGCGATTGTCAACGAGAACTATTTTTTATGAAGATGGTTGTGTACATCATATGATGCAGAGCCCGGGGGTTGAACCTCCTTTTCAAAAAAAAAATATAGCTCTGCCCCTACCGGTCTTTTTTGGAAAAAAACTATCCAGGAACGGATGCTAACAGCATTCTTTCTTAAAAAAATCTGCAAAGTGTTTTGTGTAAAATGCACTAAATTCAGTATCGTGCATTTGCTTACGTCAAGCGTAGTCAGTCAGGCTAAGACCAGACACAGTTTTCGATCCATGCCGTACTGCACATCCATATGCATCAAAGTTGAGGGGGGCTAGTACTTGTTAAGTGGTTGTTAATCCCGGTAGATAGTTTATGCTTGTTCTCCCATTACTGGATTGCTCTCATTTTTTGACGTGTGTTGACGTATAAATGTATTGCCTAGTCTCTTCCATCAGATCGGTCTTTTGGGTTCATTGGCTAGAGCATGCACATCTACATGGTATCTTGAGCCAAGAGGTCAGCTCAAGACCCGGCTGGTGCAATTAAATTGCAGCCCACTTTCGGTCCACGTTTATGTGTTTTACCACTGAGATTTAGATATTGCTCCATCCGTTCCAAAATAAGTGTCGTGGTTTTAGTTCCCAGGTTGGTAAATCACATTTGAGAACCAGCAGCATTAATTTGTTGCAACTGCAATGCTATGAACTTCAAATTTATAATAATTGATGCAAATTCATGATGGCAGCTGGAGAATTGTCATTCAGCTTTTTCATTCCTGTAGTTTGAAAAGCCACGCTGAGATCATTTTCTAGTTCTTGAATTGCAACTTCAAGAACAAAACGGCATTTTTCTTTAGAAGTATATATGCATTGCTCTGCGTGGACACTCATAGGTAAACTTGTGAGCACCGATGTTTAACTCAGCCGATTATGCTTCGACTCTGGCAGGTCTCTGATAGCGGCGTATCTGCTGGTCCTAAACGGCTACAAGAACGTGTTCCATCTGGACGGAGGGCTCTACACATGGTTCAAGGAAGATCTACCTTCTGAAGGAGAAGAAGATTGAGCAGGAAATGACCTGTCAGTTATTAGTTGCTACGACATTGTTGTTGTTCATACAACTGCAGTTTGTTTGTGATGAGTTGTAATGATGCGCGTTACGGATAAAATTGTCCGCACTAGTTTTGAGAAAATCTCATATCCTTCCCATCTTACCTTTTGGCCGGTGTGAAGGTGCGCTAGATTTATCTTGGATGTCAAACACTTGAACTTAGCCTCACTGTTGTTTGAATTGAGCTGCTGTTTTTGGCGAAATTCATGTGAATCCCATGCATCCCTAACGAGCCATGTCAATGAGCTTTGGGAGGTCCCCTAAAAAAAAGAGCTTTGGGAGGAAAAGAAGTTCTGATCAATCTCACAGTCTCGCAGATGAAGAGGCAAATGAACCCAACCATTTCTTATCACAATGTATGTACAACAAATGCTTTACATGTCTAAACTTATGTGTTCGAGAATGCATGGCGTAATCTGGTGTGAATCCTTGCGCATCACGGTGCGGCGTGTCTCTGTCACAGCACCACCGGCTGAGGTTGCCGACCACGTCGCCGGTCACGAGCACGAGCACTGCGAGGAGGCCGTCTTCTTCATGGCGCTGGTCTCCATGATGGGGTCGTGCAGGTCCACCGTGGTGCCCCTCAGCGACAGCACCTCGCCGCCATCGCTGACGCCGCCGCTGCGCGTCCGCCGCGCCTCGTCGAGCTCCAGCGCCCGGCGGGAGACGACGGCGAAGACCTCCTCGAGGAGCGCGAGGAAGGCGCGCTCCACGTTGTCGCCCGTCAGCGCCGACGCCTCGGAGAAGAAGAGCCCCTGCTCCTCGGCGAACCGCGCGGCCTCGTCGGCCGGCACCTCGCGGCGGTGCGCGGCCGCGTCGGCCTTGTTGCCGACGAGCGCCACGACGGTGGAGCCGTCGGCGTGGGCGCGGAGCTCCTCCACCCAGCGGGTCACGTGGTCGAAGGTGGCGCGGCGGGTCACGTCGTACACCACCATGGCGCCCAGCGCGCCCCGGTAGTAGGCGCTCGTCACCGCCCGGTACCTGCTCCCAACACACGCGCATGCTCAATTGTCAGTGACACACACTCTGTTTTCTGTAAGAAAATCTGTCAAACATTTCACATTTCAACGTGTCAACGTGCTCGAATTTGTGAAGAAAATTCCTTGGCCGCACGCATATCAGAGCTTGTTTGGAAAAGTCTACGTGTTTTTTTTTTGGTTTGGAAGAAAAGTCCACTGTTGACTATTGAACCGTGTACTTCGCTTCCGGTTCAGTTTCCACCCCAGAACACACAAGCGGTCCTAACAGAATTTTAGAATTAAGCACGAGACTGTTCACTTTTGAACTCTCAACTAACTTCAAAGCGGCTTCGCTGATGCTTAGTCTATGCAAATTTGGGCACGTATGATCTATTCCTAGAAAGGAGGAAAAGTTGTATAATACTTCCTCCATCCCATAATATAAGAGTATTTTGAGTGTAAAAAGCACTCTTATATTATGGGACGGAGGGAGTAAAATTTTCTTTTTCTTTTTAGGAGAGATCACTTTCAGAGGTCGGCGTGCTCTAGTGGTTCTAAAAGAATTTTCAACCAAGTTCAAAGCGGTCTTCGCCGATGTTCGGTCTATGCGAATCTGGTCATTTTGATGTCCTTTTCTTCCACGAATGCGATGTTTTTTCCTTTGAGCTAATGAAAGCTTCATGTGGTTGCCACATTGACAAACACATTCTGTCTTTGATGATTAATTAATCAAAGTAATACTTAGATTAGTTTGATATCAATAATATTGTATTTGTCAGAGATAATAAACAGTTTTGTAGTCTGATATTTCTAAAACTTTACTTAAATATTAGTAGAAAAAGTAATACAAAGTGTGATAAATAACCATATAAAAACATCATGCATTTCACACTAGATAGAATAATATGTAGAGAAATGGTACTCTAGTCATAGGCACAAATAAGATTTTAAATGAAGTCTTAAAACATCCGATGAAAAATCACTACTAGTGTGTAAATCATAAAATGGTTTTTTTTTTGCAGCACAAGTTTTCTAGCTTGGACTCTAGGTTAGGAGGTTTTAGTATGGTACTCATTTCTGATTTACGCATAGGTCAAAAATTGCCATAGATTATTTTAGTTTAGAACGCCGCTAACTGCCACACGTGTGGGCGTTAAGAAATCTGCCAACACGTTCTGTGTGGTGCCTAAGAGGACCAGCCCACACGTCTGTGTGTGGGCAAAACAACTAGCGCCCACACGCCTTTTTCCCCTCTCGATCCCTCTTACACGCGTACGTGTGGACGAAATAGATAACGCCCACACGCCCGGTACGTCAGGCCCGCACGCCCCACGTGACACTTTACCGCGCGCCCCGCAGTTGCCATGGGCCGGACCCTCGTCCATGTTCGTTTAAGTGCAGTTGCCATGTCGCTGAACTATGGTTGCCATGTCGGACAACTACAGTTGCCATGTTTGCTCAACTGCAGTTGCCATCTCAGGTCAAAGTTCCAGATTGCCATTTTTTGGACAACTACAGCTGTTGCCATGTGTGATCTGGTCTACTCCAGTTGCCATGATTTCAAAACTTTAGGAGTTGCCATCTACTAACACTAGGCAGTTGCCATGTAGCGCTACAAAAAAAGGCATGGCAAAAAACGTTCGGGTAAAAAGAGAGAGTTGCCATGTGCTCATAAGCACGCTAGGGCAGTTGCCATTTAAAAAAGAAAGAGTTGCCATCTGCTTACGTGTATGCTAGGGCAGTTTGCCATGTACCATGCCAAACATATGGCAACTGACATGTTCGGGTAAAAAAAAAAAGTTGCCATCTGCTTGCAATCACATTAGGGCAGTTGCCATGTACACTGCAAAAGCATGGCGACTGGCAGCTTGGGTGTGGGAGAGGAGGCGGGCGTGTGGGCGAGATGGCAAACTGCCCACACACCAGCCCTTGTGCGTGACTGAAACTGGTGTGTGGGCGAACTGCTAAACGCCCACACACCAGCTCCTCCGTGTGGTAAAACGGATGTGTGGGCGACCTCTCTCACACACCACACACGCGAGTTGTCCTACGTGACATACAAAATCAGTTAATTCGTACCAAGATTCGTGTAGAAGTTACTGAACGGTGATGGAGGCGTGTGGGTGAGTTGGCTAACGCCCACACGTGTGGGCGTTAACATTTCCGTTAGTTTATAGGTTCCTATCTGATAGACCTTCCTCCGTAAGTATTTTCACAATTTTCAAGATTTCAAGAAACTATGATTTTAAAAGCTAAATCTTGGAAAATAGAACGAAATGTACCCATGTGTTTTTTTTTTTTGCGGGTGCAAAAAATGTACCCATGTCTCAAAAGCAACTCCAGTGACATGTAAAAAACCATGTATACAAAAATCATGCATCTACTACTCTGAAGCTCCCGCGGGCGTTACGTGTAGAAAACAGGTCATAATCCGGGCGCAAATTGGGCACGTATGTATGATCGCCCCACTACGCCGATGGTCTATTCCTAGAAAGGAGGAAAAGGCGCAGTAGGATTTTCTTTTCCTTTTCCTTTGAGAAGAGATCGCTTTCAGAGGTCGGCGTGCTCTGGTGGTCTGAAGAATCGTCGTCCTTACTAGCAGCAGCAGGATCGACATGTACGTGGCCGTCGCATTTGAATGCAGCCGTAGCTTTCGCCTTCTCCCTTCCTGAAAGACGAAAGCTGCCTACCACTCAGCATTTCCATCTTATCGCCCGCCCCCTAGCCTAGCTTGCGTGCTGCGCTGATCTATTTGGTGATCACCGGATTAAATGCATGTGATGGGGGGTGAGGCCGACCGGTATCATGCGTCGATCGACCGATCCCCTAATCCGGAAGCAAGCAACTGGTCCAAAACACTGATCGTTCTTGGCGGCATGTACTCCACTAACTATGCGAGGACGCGGCCACATACAGAAAACACGTTTGTCCTTGGCAGAACAACAGACCCACCCAATATTTTTGTAACTAAGCTTTGGAAAGAAGGCGGTGCTAAAAATTAAGCAAGTGTATGTATGCAGCAGAGATTCGGTGCTTGTTCTGGCACCAGCAAACGATTGTTGCGGAGGGTGATCGGGCAGCTGTACGTACGTGTGCTGAGAGTTGAAACTAGGCGTGCCGCCCAGAATTTCGTATCCCGGGAACGAGGATTGCATGTTTGCGATCGAGAAATTCAAAACGGTAGCAGACGAAAAATGGACTGCATATCATATCAGAAGAGCAGAGCTAGGCGACCGGGCTGGAGGAGGAAGACGGGACGGGGTTATGGGGGCGGGGCGGCGTACCTCTCCTGTCCGGCGGTGTCCCAGATCTGGGCCTTGACTTGCTTGCGGTGGAGGGTGAGGGTGCGGGTCTGGAACTCGACGCCGATGGTGGACTTGGAGTCGAGGAAGAACTCGTCCTTGGCGAAGCGCCCCAGCAGCTGCGTCTTCCCCACCGCCGAGTCGCCCACCACCACCACCTTGAACACGTAGTCGATCTCCCCCTCCTTCTCCCCCTCCCACCCGGCGGCCGCCTCCTCCTCCTGCTGCTTCCCCCGAGATACCATGGCTTGATGATCGAGCAAATGAAACTTTGTTGATCCTAGCTCCCTCGCCTGTCTTGGTCACTCCTTTATCCTCTGATGATGGTCTCTTCTGGATTGATTCTTGATATGATGTGCGCACTGTGTGAGGGAAAGGGTGTCTATAAATCCCAATCAATGTCTATCCAGTATGCTTGGCTTGGCCGGCAGAGGTGGCTGCTGCTAGATAGCTATAGGGATGTGGTGCTGGGTGTGGCATGCAAGAGGATGAGGAGGAGGAGGACAGGGCATGGCGTGGCATCCAGTACTGCTTTTGATGAGGGTTACTGCTTCCTACTCTAGTGCACCAGCAGCCTTTGCCCGTTGTGTTCCGTGCGTGTCCTGCTTTTGGAGGGAAGGGAGGATCTCTGCGCGCGCCAACTTGGGTTGGGGCCTTGGGGGCTTGGGGCATCTTGGGGGCTTCCGAATGAGTTTCGGCTTCCGGCTTTTGATATTAGGTTTAGGTGAGTGGTTTGGGTAATGGCTCAGCTAGCACCTCCTAATCATTTTGAATAGGAGTAGCGGCATATGTTGCCAAGATGGTAGATTCAGACACATTATTGTAACACTTTGTACGGTTCTCGAGAATAATCAATAAAGTGGCCGTATGCATATCCCAGATGCAGAGGGCAGGGGTCATCCTCCTTTTCTAAAAAAAAACTCCTCCTCCCTTTTCTTTCTCTTGTATTTTTAATTTCGTCTGCATTTTCTTCTTGCGGGGGAACGTACGGTGCTTCACACCTGCGCCTCGATGTAGTGTCCTCCGTGGCCGTGTCCACGGCCGCACGGCACCACGGTGCATGCGAAGCTTGCACGCACGCTACGTAGGGTACTAGTGTCTTCTAATCAGTCTCTTAATTCAGTGCGTACTACTGTCTTCTAATTAATCCGCTCTGTAGAAAGATAACTGCTACGGTACTACTCCATTTTTTTCTAAAAATAAAAAATGGTACTGCCCCTTTCCCTTCCGTGGGATGCAGAGCAGCCGGAGCACAGTACAGATAATAAACCGAAACGGTGCCGGCCGGCGGGGTACCTGCATTATATATATATATATATATATATAAAGAAAAGAGTGAAGAGACGACAGTGCGCCATGAACATCTTCATGCTATGATCAGAAAATACAGAAAACGCACTATGTCTAGATCTTAATGTCTACTAGCACCTGTTTTTTTTTACGGTACGTAACGTACTCGGTAACTACGATGTGGTGTGGCATGCAAGACGGCCCGGTAGGGGTGACAGACAGACAGACAAATCCGTTCGTTGCCGTGTACCGACTGACGAAGAAACGTCGCCCGGTCGCGGGCGGGTTCGCTTCCAGGCTAAGGTTTCTGCCGGCGTTCAGGTAAACAAAAATCAAAAAAAGGTTTGCTGCCGGAGTTTCTTTTTGCTCCCTCTCGT